AGAAAATATGTTCCTATGAACTTGGGGTCGCAAATGTTTCGTTTTCGAAATAATAGCCAAAAATAAAGTTCTTTATACGAGCTTTTGTTACATTTGGCCAAGGCACATTCATTTCATGAACTACTATTACGTTACTGATAAAGATTATAGAACATGACACTTTCTAATGATTGACAACATATTAGGCACAAAGCAGGTTTCCAGAAAGCGCAGATATCACAGAAAAATCAGCGCCTTGCTATTAGTAGCAAATAAAGAACATATTCCAATAATCAGGTTCTAAATATTGTAGACGTTAACTCCTTCATAATAAAGTTTAAACGCATAAAATAGAGCATTAACATCTTGTCAACTGACAATGGGAAATGCTGAGTTAGGTTACGTCTGTGTACAGAGTTGATACACCAACCTGGTATGTCAATCCGAAGTTGGCTGCACTTATTTTCCTAACCATAATCTAAAAGCACAAGAAACGATAATTATGACTTCCGAAGTCTTCGCTAAATATGTTTCAACAAACTGGTCACAAACCTCTGATAAACTGTGGTTGTAACACAAAGCACAAAGCTTGGAAAACGCACTTTCTCAACACGCCATATTTCACTGAAGTGGAGTACCAACATGACAGACCTTAACGGCGCAAATTTTAAAAATCATTCGTGGAATATGTTTATCAATAACACATGTTCATCATTTTACCAGCTCTGTCATATTACGCTAAATCTCCTACAAATTAGGATTATAATTAATATAGAAGAGGAATGGATTCTGTAAAGACCTATACGATATTTAACGTTTTCAGTGCACAAAAAATGTGGATAATGATCTGAGTTAAGTCGCTGTGCAGACGTCTTTGTTTTCATAGACTTCACAACCCACAAGATCACAATTCATGTCTGTAAATATCTTCTGTCGTTCATTTCGAAAACGATTACCATCCGAAACGCTGGATATCAGGTTACGCAGAACAATAATTTGACAGCTGTTTAGCATGAACACAAAACGTGGTGTCTTTCGCTGTGAGTGCAAATTGTAAACGTGTGAAAACTGGTGAGGAAATTGTATTCAACCTAGAAGGAAGATTTAAATGAGAATTTTAGGATGACACGTAACGAGATTCTTCGTTATTAAATATGTCACTTCCAGTATAAGCAGGCAATCCGTCCGTGCACGAATGAGTTCAAAAGGAAGAATAACAGCGAGTGAGCAGATACACTGACGGGAGCGGTATCTGCTGAACAAAAGCAACACTACTAAAGAGGAAAGCCACAGAGGAAGTTAACACGGCTCTAAGCTTTATTCGCGTGTGTCATTTTTCAGTTTCTTTGAAATGTAGGAGGAAAAGAATGGCATGGATCTGGGGGATATTGGAAACCAGGATGGAAAACAGATGAAAATGGCGCTGAATCGTGTCTAATAGCAGGATTCAGGTTCTGCAGCTCTAGTGCCAGCTAATGAACGCAATTGAATAGAACACGGTCGCATTATTGTAACTCCTTCTTTCCACGACTAGATTCCGAATGATTTTGCAAACACCGTCAAATATCCTATCATTTAAATGCTTCAGAGTTGGCAAAGCCCTTCAAGAATAGTTGCATTCTGTTAGTACATAGTTTTCATGCCCCCCAAAAGTTTTCAGATGTTAACTATATTATTCTTGTTGTTGCATGAGCTATTGTTAAGGGCGTGATGTTTCAACCATTAGCAGAAAGTTCGTCTGATAAGCATTTAACGATCGGGAAACACGTTTGACTGTCGGCTGTTGATTTCGAACTATCTTGTTTCGTGTTATTGTGTTGTTGAAATGGTCACGAATCCTGCGTGACAAACAGCTTCAGGCCTGGGCTGTTAAACTCTTGCTAACAGACCAACATTAAGAGAATCATCACGGATTTTATTTTCCTATTTCATTCGGTGACCCGAAGAATGCTATGAGCAAACATTAAACATACTTACATTCGACAAAACTCATGGAACAACACGAAAAATGTTCCAATATATACAGCGAAAACCAGTACAGGTAGCCCTCGATTAACGCCAGGGATGCGTTACTGGACGAACCGGCGTAATCGGAATCGGCGTAAATTGAAACTCTTTTATAATGTGAATCAATTTGCAGTCAATGACATGCGTTCCCAGCGCCCAACCATTGACGAGTAATGTAATGGCATTACATCTAAAGCTCTGAAATAACGTAAATAAAATAAAGGATTAAATTAGTCCTTTGAAAGTTTAAAGCACCAGGAATTAAGTTGCATAAGAGCAAAGTCACATATCCAAAAGTTTGCATTTCACAAGCAGCTTTTACCGATTCATCGATCTCACTGGAGCAAATTCGCTTTAACGAAACATACGTAATTGCAGAGACGACTGTATTTATAATTTTGATTCAAAATGAGCAATATAAGAATTACGATTTACTATACGAAGCAGTACGAGAAACATTGTAGAACGTTATAAATAATAGTAAAATAATGTTTTTTCACTTTTTGACTTTCTGATTTCAAAATCGGCGCAAATTGGACCGGCGTAAATCGAGGGCTGGCTGTACACATTTGTCTATACTAAACGCATTACTGGTATAAAAGAAAACTTGTAACTTTAGTGAATTTCAAAAGTGATGTTGGCAGTACTGGAAAAACTACGATTAAAAAGAATGCGAACCTTCCCGTATTTGCACAAAGTCAGTTCCCACCATCTTAAGGGCAGTGATATAATTGTAACACGTTCTGTTGACAGAATTAATCAAAGAAGAACAAAGACCTATATAAGCCAGTGGAAAGGTTACGAACTGCTAAAATGATTCAGAAAAGGGCGGAAAAATGTGGATGATTATGCACATTCTTGGCGACCATGGACTGTTACATGTTGAGGTTAAGAAACACATACAACAGCGTACCCGCAACAACTTAAGATTCAGTAATAATGACAATTAATCTGAAATTATCATAATTAAGGGAAATGGGTTCCAAGAACAGCTAACGGCACAACCAAAAACATTTTTATGTCTCGATGTCAAGAAATTGTGAGCCTTTGGATAAAATGTACTTACACAAATGTAAAAAACATCTTCAAACAGATGTCTAACTGCTGTTCAGAACTTACAATAACATTTTCATTGACTTTCACTTACCTTTGCATCATGCGTCTACAAACCTGAATTAACCGCTTCTGAGAAAGCAGATACAATAATTGTTACTATATTTTAAGCTGCTGTAAGAAACAGATCTAATTTTAATGTCAAACATTTCTTTCTAATCCCTCATTTGATTTGGAGCTATATCTCCACTCCCCCCCAAGTGCCTATATGGCGTGTAGTGGGACAGCTTTTACACTTATAAATAAAGCAAATTAATGTTCTCACCCCACTACTTAATACACCTGTGGCTTATACACGCTGTAACATTTGCAATGGTTCGTACTCAGTTTCTTCGCTGACTAAATTAAATGCATCTGAACAGGACGCCAGAAAATGTTTATCTTACAGGAAAACCGTAATATATTTTGAGAATCGTTATAGCAGTTAAGAATGTAATTATATAATAAGCAAGAAATTTCTAAATCTTCGGTCTGCAACAGAAACACACATTTGAACACCTGGCATCCTTAAAACATCACAATCTAATTATATGTTAAGTCTTGTCTGTAGAATGCACAATAAACTCCTCAGAAAATATGGCGAAGTTCAAACAGACCAATTTGGGAACGAAACTATGAAATAAAATTTCAATTACGAAGTAGATGAGAGCAGATTACATCCCCTGAATGGCTGCTAACATTCAGTTAAGAGCCTTCTGCCTTCCTGTCCTAGGCCTAAAGATGAGAGCCTAAGTGAAAAACAAAAACTGAAAGTGTTTGAGCGGAGAATATTTCTTCCGAAACGAAATGAAGTGACTGGAGGCCGAAGAAATCTGTCCAGTGAGGGAGGAGCTTTATAATTTATATCCTTCTCCAAATTCCGTTAGCTTCAGAAAATTAAGGAGCATGCCAATGACGTAACATGTAATACGCATGGCGTATATTGGAAATGCAGAATGATTTCAGTCGGGAACCTGAAGGGAAGATACCAATTGGGATGACTAAACGTAGATGGAAGGACACTAATGAAATTAATTTTAAAGAAGTAGGATGTGAAGGAGTTGATGGATTCACCTATCCATTGACGGACTCTATTAAACAGGACTAGACTTAACGAAACTTCGGTCCCAATAAAATACGACGATTTTGACTATCTGAGCGACCATCAGCTTATAAAGGACTCTGCACCATGGAGAGGTAAGTTAAATGAGAAGTCCTGTCTCCAAGGAGGTGCACGAATGCAACTTCATGCAATTCTACGGACCGAAACGTCGATAGGTGATCGGTCTAAAAAAAACCGAGGGGCATGAGCGGTTGAGCTGAACTCTCTAGACTTTTTTTCACCGTCAAAAACGTCGGACACTGAGTGGGATACCCATTTCCGTTCTTAAGATGTCAATGAAGAAAAAAGTTTCCAAAGCTTCTACCCGTAACTAAATCTCAACTGTCAGTTTATAGATTACATCATTAAGGGTTACAGTCATTTGAGTGTAAAGTTAAGGCTGTTCTGTGGTTAAGTAACATTATATTAAAGCGTTCGGAGTAGCGACAGTAGAGCTCCACGCACTATTAATCTCGCCATCAGCTGCAAGTGAAAGGTCAGCTTCACGCTTCGGTCGCTTTATACCCAGATACTCACTGGGGAGAAGGCTCGGTGGTTCTTAAAATCCGGTCTGAACGCTATGACGTGGAGAAAAACGCTGGATCTGGTGGGAATCGAAACCAGGTCGTCCATGCATATGCCAGTCACCGAATTGTCCTGATTCACGAAGATAATATTGGTTCATTCGTTAAATAATGGGGACTATAAACGTTGGTCGAAACGTAAAGCATCAGGGATGACAGATAATTGGCCTGCAAGGGAACCTGACTTCACTCTAACTATACCTGACTGGAAGACAGGGCGAAGACTGTTTACTTACGGCATAGGGAGATCGTGCTGTTGATCCTCTACTCCGAAATGGATTAGACTCGGCGATGTTGGTCCATCCGCATCGTTAGGAATGAGTAGCATACTGTAAACATAACGTTTTCATATTGGAACAAACCACCCTTGTGAAGTAATTAAAAATGCAGCCTGAAAAACAAAACAAATAAATCTGCAACCTTTTGAAGTAGGTAGGCCTACGATTTGGTAGGAAATGTAAAATGTTACACGATGCCTTCTTTCGGTCGCATTTTGTAGTTACTGTACACATCAAGAGCATAAATAACGTTAAATTCTTACTTTTGAAAATAGGTCCATTTGTAAACATTCTCTCGAAAGCCTTTCAATTAAACCTGCCAGTATAATTGTAGTCAAAAGAAAACAGAAGTTTTCAAGAACCATAAGATGTTTCGAAACTTTGTGCCATCTTCAGGCGAGGTTTCACTCCTGAAAGTTTTGCTTCAACACGCCATCTCTCAGTTACAAAAATTGTGTGGTATAAATATAAGTGTCCTAAGAATAATTTATAAACTAAAACATTAAAGGTAATATACTAACTACGGTTTATTTAAAAACGCATTCCGACTATACAGCGTCGTATGATACATTGGATAATAAATTAGAAAGGATGTGGAAAGAAGCAATCATGGCGTAATTCAAATTATTTCCTCGGCATACGTTTAAAGTGACGAGAAAAGAAATCCATGAGAACTTCAATCAGTTTAGCCGGCCTCCGGGCCAAGATTTGAAAGAAGGACCTACGAATTTTAAGCATGAGTGCCAACCGATCGCCTAACACACTGAATATTGCAATGGAATGTAATGGAAAATAAAGACTGCCAACTGCGACTGGGACACACCAAAGTAGGCCATCGTACTTCAGATGTCGTACGTAAAGCAGAGAGTGCGTTACTCGACGTGAATCTGTAATTCCACGTCCTTTACAAGTAGGAAGCAAGGAGGCAAGACTGGCGGGCGAGTAGCATGTACAGTCTACGCTAAAACATTATTTCCCAGTGGCTGTATTTCGTAGATAGCTGTCTCGTCCTGTTTCAGTAATATTTTTGGTTCAGATTGTTTAACCGCAAGGCAATGACAAGAAACGCGCAGATTAGTACCAGCTACTGTAGCTGTTGCTTCAGACACGTGTGTGACGATATAGGAAAGAAATTGATGACAAATAAACGATGAAAGAAATATACAAAAAGAAATAGCACGTCTCCGACGAAATACCTGGATTTTCAAAACACAGTGTATACCCCGAAGATCCTGCAGTTGACGCGACCAGTGAAAATATAAAATTAAACAATTCCTTCCGTCATAAAACGAAACCATGGGCACTTTTGAAGGCATAAGAACCAATCACAAGTGAATAAATCAGGGAATAAGCAGGTTAGCACAACGTGTATCGCGTTTGATTTGAGTTCGGAAGGTTCTTAACCATAGAACCGGGTATAATGGTTAAGTAGGTAGATAAAGGTCTTCCCTGACAGTAGTTCCGTTTGTTGTACAGGTCTGCAAATGCGTTGTTTAGAGCTACAAAATTTAGCATTCACACACAGAAGAAGGCAATGGCAACCCACTTCTGGATCATCTGCCAAGAACGTATATGAACAGGTCCCAGTCCGAGAAAAGGATGGAAGGATCCTGTTCATATGGACCTGTCGTCAGACAGGACACTAATAAATAAAAAATATAATAATAGGTAGTAAAGCAGGACCTTAAAACAGACCTAGAATACTTCCATCTATAATCCTTGCTATCCTCCGTTCAAGGACCTCATTCGACGTCACGTGTTACTTCGTGCTGCGGCTTGGAAAAGGAACGCGGGCAGCAAGACGAATGAAAAGTGGTGAAATTATAACAGCGCAGAATTACAGAAGCGTTGGAAACAACTGTTATAATGTACAATATAAATAAGATTGGAATGTTGAATTCTTTTTGGAGTACACAGAATTTACAAAAGTGTTCATTACGAAACATATAGGGCAGTTAAGTCAACGATATGTAAGGTAATTCTTGAAGAATGTTATCCGTCCGATCGGCGAAAGGAAAAGTTTCAATCCTTGTAACAGAAACGGATCGTGGACTTAACCCGTGTTGATGAGGTAAAACGCACCACGTGGGATGCACCTGCCTGTCTGGAGGCAAATTTATCTCTGGGACAAGAATCCCAGGGTCAAAGTAAAAAAGAGAAACGATCCGATGTAGTCATTCATAATTGCATCTCAGTGTTCGGTTAATTTCTGCGTGCAAATAAGGCATACAGACTAACACGGAGAAAACTTCGTCTTTCGTAGAAACTTTACAAGGAAGATTCCTCACCATATTACAGGCGAGAAGGAAACCATTTTCATGGGCTAAGATCCTTAGGAAAACTGCACCAACTGCGTATAATCCACTTTAACTGTCGTCAATCTAACGCATAACTGATGATCAATACAATTTCCGGATTCAATGGCGAGCAGGCTTCCAAAACAGGCCAACTTCAACACTATACGTGCTACTGACTGTACCAAGACTTTGGCGAAATCCAAAATCATTGCTTCCTTGTTCTGGAGCAATCATACTTTCTAAACGTGCTCTACCCGATTTTGCATACCTCGATGGCCCCCCCCCCACCTGTTGTGAATGCAAATTTAGAGTTTCTACCTTTATCATGCTATTTCACTTACAATACTGCACAGAGTTAAAAATTATTTCTCCCACCTGTCAAATATTTTAAAAATCGAGAACATTTCAAATTACAGACGTTATTACGATCTGTCGTATGGGTAAAACAAATTTTTTGCACGTAGAATGAACAGTTTCTGAAAAAAGTGGTGAAGGAAATCCTCAGTTATTATTTGCTAATAACATTACTTAACCACGATTTGTCATTGTTGGTCTTGTCGGTTTCAACGCCATCTTGACTTACATGCACATACCACAATTTCGAAGAAACATATTCAAGACCTGAAGATAGAGACAGTATGTTCCTCCGACATTATGTTACCTGCGTACTGCGTTTCAAACCACACGACCAACAACATCTTCAAATCCATTAGAATCTGAAATCTAATAACAAATCTTTCATTTGCCTCGTATTTATATGACTTTTCAGCTTCTGATAGTTGGTAGCACAACACGCATGCGTAGAAAGTGTGCTGACGTCACTAAACTCACCACTACTGTCGAACCGCTGTTTTAAACAGCTTCAACTATGCTGGAGATACGCTTTGAAGTTCAAGGCGAGTATGTTCATATGCAATTACCCTTGCAGGATTTGATAAAGTTCTCAGTTGAATATGTACATCTGTTCCAGGGATCATGTACTGTGCGCCCACGAGAACCTTCGTATCTTCAGAAGGGTTTTTTTTTCTGAATGCCAGCGAGAATTTTAAAGTATTCGTAACGAGTCCTATATTTTTAATGTTATAATTGTCTTTGTCACATTCTCATGTCATTTACTCTTGGGCTAATTGTAATACATGATATGCAAACATGATTCTTTTTTCAGTAAATTCATACAGTGCCTAGCGTAAATTACAAACTCCTCCTAGTTATTTGTCACGTAGATCTGTGATCTCTGCGTATATAAGGGCACAAAACAGACATTGGACACGCCACATTCATTTGATCACTATTTCTTGGCACACTAATAAGCAACGTAGGTCCCTGTAAGTTGCCTCAGGCACGTGGTTCGTAATCACTGTTATGAAGCACACTAAGCAACATTTACTAACAAGCAGCGAGTCACCAAGGTCCTGGAGCTGTGTTTTAGTCCGTTTCAGTCATCCGGGTACAAAAGGAGACGAAAGACTATTAACAAATGTCCCTGCAGAAATATAGTACTTTTATACCACAGGAGTTTTGGCACCAATACGTACATACCAACGCCTCATCCTGGAATAACCCTGAATATGTTCATCGTAAACGTTATCATACAGCCAAAATACTACAAAACACAACACCGAAGACGACCACCAAAACAAGCATATCAGATTAATCTCCTCGTATATCTGTAATAAATTCATAAACAATAGAGAACGTGAACTTCTCAAATGACATATCAAAGTTAATGCACTACAAGACACAAGCTATCAAATATTAAGTGTAACTAAATGCAAATCCTCAATACGACAGGAAGTAATATCACACATGTTCTCTATTATTTTAAGTCTCGGTACAGCATGACAATAAGTCCTCTAAATCTAAATCTATCGCTTTATGCATTAACACATTTACACGGTGCCCTACTAATCACAAGGCTGATATGACGGAAGGAAAACTTCGTATTTAGTTCATGTGACCAGTATTTTAATAATTAAATTTCTTGCGCTGTATCTAAAATAGGATTCCGTGTCCCACTCTCAAGACATTGTTTGATAAACTTCATAAATACCAATATATAGATTCGCGCTTGCCATCACAGATGACAAGTACATCCTTGTAGGATTTGAGGTTTTCACAGCGGTGAGTCTGAAGATTTCCGTCTGGTCGATGTTTACCAACGTTTCAGAGGTCATACTGCCTCCGTCATCAGAGTATGAAGATTTCTGTCTTCTGGGTTGTTGCGCTGTGTAGTCTGGTAGATGTTTGCCAACGTTCAGAGGTCATACTGCCTCCGTCATCAGAGTATGAAGATTTCTGTCTTCTGGGTTGTTGCGCTGTGTAGTCTGGTAGATGTTTGCCAACGTTCAGAGGTCATACTGCCTCCGTCATCAGAGTCTGAAGATTTCTGCCTTCTGGGTTGTTGCGCTGTGTAGTCAGGTAGATGTTTACCAACGTTTCAGAGGTCATACTGCCTCCGTCATCAGAGTATGAAGATTTCTGTCTTCTG